GTACCTTATGAGTTAATAGCCAACAAACATTGGCGAATAAAGGGGAACAATCGGTACCCACCGCTTGAAACCTCTACTACTCAGTCACTCGGTGACTAAGTAACAATCATGTTTACTTAGTCACTCCTTAAAACTTGGTATGAAACTAAAAAGGTGTTCATATATCGCCTGTTCTTACTAAGTTACCACAGCAGGGACTAGCTGACCTAGACCGCCTAGAGTCTCTTGCCTAAAAACCATGGCAGGTAGGAAATTACCTTCCTACTTGGTTAATTTTACAAATGATAGGACCGCCTGCCTAAAGGGGATCCAGTCTTCAATATGAGTCAGATACCGGTTGGATAAATGACCGACTGATCGCCTAGCTTGGAAACAGACAACCAGTCGTCCAGGGGCATAGGCAGTGTGTCTACATCTTACCTGTCTACAACTATCGGCCATGCTAAACAGTCGGTATAGTATGTAACTGGATATCAGAGTTTCGATACTTAGTAAAATAAAAAGCACAATTCGAAATTTTGTATTTTGTCAGAAAAGGCGACCTAAAAAGATGGTCGCCTAATTTCTATTAACAGGCGGCAATAAAGACCGGCATAAATATTCAAAACCCCGGCCCCTTGGCCGGGTAAAGATACAAAAAGAGAAGCCGACCATTAAGACCGGCAAAATATTCAGAATCCCGGCCCCCTGGCCGGGTAAAGAAAAACAAACGGCACGCAGGCCGAAGAAAAAGAAGACAAAAGCTTAAGATGGGGGCAGATCTTCAACAACAACAGCTGCCGTCTGGTCAGCATTCTTCTTGCTTGACTCGCCCTCAACTGCATCTTTTTTCGACGCATCCACCCCAATCGGCACTGTGGCCACTATCGGATCCTCCTCCTCCAATGCCTCGTCCTCAGCAGCCGCCAGGATCTCTTGATTATATCTCTCGGAACACTGGCGGTACGTTTTTTCCCATGAGGCAAAGTTGGCATTGGGGAAGAGGCGGCCCCAAGTCAGGCGCTGGATTTGAGCCGAGTCTTCCATCATCTCTCGAACCAGCTCCTTCTTTTCCTGCTCGGCCTTTGCCGAGAGCTCCTCAGTAAGACTCTTCTCTTGAGTCGCCAAGCGCTCCTTAACGTGCTCCAAGGATTTCTCCAAGGTGTCGTATGAGGTCATTTTTTTTGGCGAAGAGGTCTCAGCTCGGCCTTGAGATTGTTGATGGTCGCCTCCAGCTCATTATTTCTCTTTTGGGCCGCCTCCAACTGAGCCCGGATAGCAGAAGTAGCCTGCGCCTGATAATAAAGAATATCAGTTGTCAAAATCTCATTTTGGGCAATTTGAAACATTGCCTTATTACAGTCAAAGGCGGCCATAGCTTTAGCAGCCTTTACCTCTTTGTTCTTCCTATCAAGCGGCTTGCGAAGGCCGTTCACTCGGAGCAGAGACTGAGTAAAGGGAAACAGGCGTCAGTTTTCAAACAAAAAATAGGCGTCCTGGAATTAAACAACAAAAATATGCTAAGTATACCTCAGCAAGGAGCCCTGCAATTCTGTCTAGGTCAAGGGTGCCGACACCCCTAACCGCCTCTCTCTCAGCCAGAAGGACGGCTTTGATCATAGACTAGGCCACCTCGACCAGGTCCGGTTCCTGAGGGCCGGCTGCATCAAGCATATACAAGCATGTTAGACACAGTAAAAAGGAAGTAAGTCCGAATGCATAAGGACAGTTCCATACTTCTAGGCGGCCTTTTTAGAGTTTGAGAAGGAGTGGACGGCTGTTTCTCAGCCGCCGCATTTTTCCTGGCAGTGCCAGGAGAGCTCGCAACAGTCGTCCTCCGTGTCTTGGAGTTCGGTTGTTGGGAAGAAGAAGTCCTTGGTGTGCCCGTCTAAAAAAAAAAAAAAAGAGAGATAACACACGGTCAGTATTTGAACCCAACCTCAAACACAAAAAGGGGAAAGGGCGAAAGGCTTGGAACTTACCAAGGGCGCCTCCTTGTTAGGGGAGTCGGCAGAGGATTGTTGCATAATAGAGGCTCGCAACATAGCCGCCGCAGTCTTGGAAGCGGTAATTTTGCTCATGGCGTCCGCCGCAAGAACAAATACCAAAGTTAATAAAAAGTCATAATAGTAATGCAGGGCAAAAGAGAGTATTTGACAGGCCGGCTACCTCTTGATCACCGACTGCTGAGGCCACAGGCGGCCAAAAAGTACTCGTCAAAGAGCCATTTGAAGCTCAGGACGCAGTGTAGGGGTACTTGCTCTCGCACCCCTGTAGTAGAGTCGACCCTCGTCTCTACTTTAAAGAGTCATTTGTCCAGGATCTCTTTCTTAGCTCTTGGGGGAACAGGCGGCATGCTGCGACCGCCTGCAAGAAGAGGCGGATCCCTGTTCCACCTGTTAAAGCGCTTGTTCAGCTCCGTGTCTGAACTCTCAATGATAAGGAAGGTGCTTCTCCAATCCTTCCATTTTTTCTCTTTCCCCCTTGTCATGAGGTAGCCACGGTGGCTCGTCAATTGGTACCAGCCGGTACCGCCTGCCTTAGGGGTCCGGCTGAGATAGTTCATGTGGGCGAAAGCCTCGAAGTTTGGCTCCACCCCGTGCAGTTCGCACCCGGCCACATAGCCGAGAACGTTAAACCAGGAATTTGGGGCTAACTGCCATAACCCCAACTCATACCCATCCAAGATCTTCTGAACAGCCGGATGTAGGGGGAAGCGCAGCCCAGCTCTGATGGCCGCCTCATAGCAGCCAAAACAGGCGCTATCGTAGCTGGTACCAGCCAGCCAGACGACTGTGTCCTCCGGGTCTGGCACAAAAACTAAAAAGTCAGGCCCCATTGTGTAGTTCGCAATAAAGCTCCCCACTTTCTCTTGCATGGCCTTGATCCGGCCTTTCGAAACTGTGCAGTAGTTGGGGGTGTTTTGTTCTCTATAGGAGGCGGATGGCTCCGCCCAATTATCTCCTTTCTCAACTGCGTGAGAAAGCCTCGCCTCTTGTAGGCGGTTGTTTTTCTCCTCTGTGTCTAGAGAAGCATGACCAGAAGAACTAGACTCGGACTCGTCCTCTGAAGAGTCCGAAGAGGACGACTCCTCTCCTCTCCCAGAGGGGCCCGCCTCCTCTCCTTCAATAGGAGCGGGAGAAAATGTAGACATGTCAACTGTAAAATGGGAAGGGACCACCTTGATCCCTCCCTCAGAGCTGTCGGCGGTCAAGCCGCCTTGGTTCAATTCAGCATCTGGCGCCTGGTCAGATGTCTCACTAATTGGCACCTGGTAGGAGGAGCCGTCTGAGTTTGTGATCCTAGCAGTTCTTTTTGTTCTGGCCATTATGTTCTACAAAGACACAGAGACAGTCAGACTTTGTATAAAGGGCAAAGATTGGTTCGGAAAAGGGCAGGCGGCACTCCTAGTCCTAGATTCAGCCGTCCCCGGTGACCGGCTGATCACTAACCTAGGTCATGTCGTGTGCTTCCGTGGTGCCATTTCAAAAAGGAAAAAATAAAGAAAAATTAAAAGAGTGAGAGAACCGACGGTTACCTGAACAAGTGAAGTTGACGAAGTTCTGAAAATTCTGAGTAGCCGACTTGTCAGAGCAGGCGGTAGGCAGAAAGTGTCCGGAATGTCAGAGCAAGTTCAGGGGTCCGAATGTTCTCTTCAAAAGTTCTCAAGTGTGAAAAAGACTGAAGTCAACACATCCTTATATAGGCAAAAATGAGAAGGCGAAGGATCACTCCCAAATTCAAAATTTGAGCGGGAAAACCTCTCGGCCTTTCACCAAGTGACACCTGTAGCAGGCCGTCGCCTGTTACGGTGCGACACCTGTCACAGGTAACACGTGACCAGTCACGTGCCACCTGTGAGAGGCAAATGATTAGGGGATTTTTATTTACCAATCGCCATCTGACAAGTGGACCAGTCAGGTTCCGCCATGTGTCCGCCACATGGGCCAATAGGAACCTGTCACGTGTCAATCATATATTCGTCCACCATGGACCAACTGCGACGCGACACGTGTCCTTCCCATGACACATGGGAAAACTGGCCAAAAAGGCCCAATCTTTGTGGGAAGCCCAGTCAGCCCTAGGTTAAACCTAAACCTAGGTATTGGCACGCATCCCAAGGAATATAAATATGCTCATTAATCCTCATTAAGGGGGATTACGCACATTAAACACTCTCACCTAGAGAGACTCAATCACATTTTTTCCGCATTAATTACTCCTTAAACAAGTACTAACTTGATCGTTGGAGGCGGATCTCCAATCATCCGGAGTATCCGTTTGTTTTGCAGGTACAGGCGTCCGGTTCCAGTCTCGGAATTGTAACTCTCCCGCAGGACATCGGAAAACCCCGAAACAGTAAGCCCCTAATCTCTTAGTTTCTTACTAGTTTTTTACTTTATGCTCACAATAATTATAGTCTCTCTATTTGAGAGTTTTTCTACCCGTATATCGGGTTATTTCTACCCGGGTATATCATGTTAATTTATCTCTTTTTGAGAGTTTTGGGGCTATGTTCTTTAATTTCGTAAGAAAAATTGATTTGTTGATGAAGAGTTGTGTTGTGTCGCCATGGAGATTAATTCTACCTCTACAATCAATTGTATCGAATGGTGTTCGATTCCAAAACTACAATAGATCGAAAGACCCCCTCGTGAAAAGCTGTATCAAACAGCGGTGTGAAAGAGGGCATTTAGAAATGTCAGATCTAGATAACAACGATCGTAGTTTTGTCAAATTAGAATATTATTTGATTCAGTTTGTATTGTATTTGCTAGTTTTGATTTATATTGTAGATGTCGTATGACTCTTCTATTAATGAATTAATTTTCTTTTCAAAAAAAAATTCGTTACTTTTATCTAGGTGGCGACATAATTTTTTAATTCAAAAATAAAATACAAATCTTTCTTCGTATTGGTCGAAATAAGTAGATTTGCTCCAAATATTCTCTAAAAATACCACTTTATATATAAGATTTTTCACATCAAAAAAATAAAGTGTTTTTTAAAGTATGTGCATAATGATGATAGTGCGTAGAATTATCAACTTCTGCTCCTCTATCGTTTATAAAACAGCCCACTTTTTCCCAATAAGACCACAACAAACAAACCAAACAAAAAACTTGAGAACAAAAAAAATGGCGGAAATCTCTGGAATCAAACACCGTACAATTCATGTCAACGGCATAAACATGCACATAGCAGAGAAAGGTGACGAGGGGGCTCCTATAGTGTTATTCATCCACGGCTTTCCGGAGCTGTGGTACACTTGGAGGCACCAAATAGAGGGCATCTCCGCAATGGGATACCGCGCCGTAGCCCCCGATATGAGGGGCTACGGCGACACGGATGCCCCAACCGATGCCCGTAGTTACACGTACGGGCATCTAGTTGGGGACTTAATTGGGTTGATCGATGAACTAAAGGCTGAAAAAGTTTTTGTTGTTTCTCATGATTGGGGTGCTGTGGTTGCGTGGTGGTTGTGCCTTTTTCGGCCTGATCGTGTTAAGGCGGCTGTCAATATGAGTGTGCCTTTTGCTCCCAGGAATCCTAAGATGAAGCCAATTGATATGCTTCGTGCTGGTTATGGGGATGATTACTATATTTGCCGTTTTCAGGTTTGGATCCTCTGTTTTTTACTCTGTTTTACAATATATTGCTATGTGATTGGGTAACTTTAACCTGGTTCTAACCTGGTTTTTTGAGAATTTTAACCTGGTTTGAACAATTTGTATATTTTGATGTGATTTCATTACAAGGGTTAATTTTCTGAACAATGCTTTTATACAAATTTTTATTATTTTTAGTCTATTGTTTGTTGGTTTAGATTTTAAAATTTATGTATTTTGAAGTGATTTTTAATTATAAGCTTTCAAAAACAAAAATTGATTTATTGTAAGGGTTCAAACTTTGGGTTACTTTCATCCTTCAAGGTTTTGGTTTAGTTTTGTATTAAATGATCATGAAATTACTAGTATGATGCAATTCTAGCTAGTCTAGAGTTTGGTTTAGTACTCCATTGATTAAAAATGTAATTTAATTAATGCTCCGTAAATGTTTACTGCTAATACCCAATCTATAGAATGATTAGACAGAGAGTGAAGGATAGCTGAAGAGGTTAAAGCTTTCCGGAGATCCGAGGTCGATTTTACTAGTCTTTGTGGCTCTCTAAACACCCGAAAAAAAATAAAAAAAAATAAAAATAAAATTAGTATGACTAAAAATAAATAGTCAAATACAAACGATGAAACTACTGATTGTTTGACAGAGTTGATCTAATTTACATGAGCCTAGGAAAAAAAAATGTACAAGTCGATTTTGCTCTGTTTCGAGGGCAACCATAAACAAGGGCAAAGCCGATTGGTTGTATAGCTCGGTGGTATGAACACAAACATTGGAAACGATCAACAAAGAAAAGATTCCCATGTATATAATTAATAAAACGAGTCTTTAAATAATACGGACTGCTCCGTAATAATAATAATAAAACGTGGGGAGGGTCTGATTGACTAATTAAAATGTTTTTTTTTTTTAATCTACGTTGAGAATTTGGTTGGATTCATGCTTATCACATGATCAATATTTAATTTTATTAGTTTTGACATACTTGATTTTATGCTATTACACTTATTAGAAACATCTGATTTGATTCCAAATATAATTGATTTTATTCTAAGTTGTTCCGGGTAAGCTGTGGTAATGTGAGTATTGGGATCCGTAAAGGTTTATCGGCCAATTAAGTACCTGCGCAGTCAGCACAAATTAGTTAACCCAAACCCCAGGGATAATCGCTCCGATGCTAAAGTCAACAATTTGAGGAGAAGAATAAGAGAAGAGATGGGAAAGTGGTTAGAGAAAGAGAGAGTTAAAAATCGTACCTTAATAATGAATTATGCTTGGGTATTTATAAGAAGATAACCAAGCGGGTGCCACCTATCGACATAGGTGGCAAGTTGACTTCGTAGGCAACTGGTGCCTACGTGGTCGGAAGCAGCTTTCCACGTGTTCGTGATTAAGGCCGGTATGGAGAGTAAGCCGATATGCGCAATAATGGACAACTAACAACGTAATGTATTTTAGTGGACAAACCTAACGGTGTCTGCACTATCCCGTACATAAGTGTAATAACTTTAATCATGATACTTGAGCTGGATAACTTTAATCTAAATGTAATAATAAAATAAAGGGTATAAAATTAGGAAAATGTTATACATAGCTATTAGGATTACATATAAACATTAAAAACACTCTTGAAAATTGTATAAAATTAGAAATTCATGACAAAAACACGCGTAAATCAGTGTAATTAATGTGTTTTTGTCATGATTTTCTAAATTTAAACAATTTTGAAGAGTTTTTAATGCTTATATGTATCCCAAGGGCTATGCATAACATTTTCCCAGAATTAAAAAAAAAAAAAAAAAAACTCTCGTTAGTGGTTTTTGAGGGGGCATAAAAGAATACATATAGAACCTTCAACCAAAAGGTTAAGGTGATGATTAGAATTTCATGATTGGTTTTATACATTATCATAAATATACTACGTTAATATTATCTGAATGTGATTCTTACTTAGGAATATATGTAAAGTACTTTTCTTGGAAATTAAACGGTTGGTCTAAACTCTAAAATGGATCTTGTTATACCAATGTACAATCACAATGTACCTATTATTTGTGTAGGTACCTGGAGAAATAGAGGGTGAAATAACGGAAGCTGGTGGTGCAGACAAGCTACTGAAGAAGGTGTTTGCTTATCGCAACCCTGCTCAATTCATGTTGCCTAAAGGACAGTCGGCCTTCAGTGAGGTTCCCCCTTTCCCCAACTGGTTGTCTGAGGCTGATGCTGCTTATTACTGTGATACATTCTCGCGTACTGGCTTCACTGGAGGACTTAACTATTACCGCGCTCTAAATCTGTATGACTTCTCATCTTCTTGTCTCAAATTTTTCCACATATCGTATTAGTTCCATTGCTTTTCATTTTAAGTTTGTCAGTGTGTAATTTCAATTACATATATTTACTTTTCAATTTAACAGTTCAATTCTTATTAAGAAAATCTGATTTTGTGTCAATGTCTATGGTAATGGTTTTACACTTTTTAACTTAGGCCTTGTTCACTTCACCTTAAAAAAATAATATTAAACAAAAATAATTTCAGTTTAGTAAAAATAAATTTAGTTTTATCAAAAACAAGTTTAGTTTTGTTAAAAAAATTCAGTTTAGTAAAAATAATTTCGTTTTAGTAAAAATCTTTAAATTCAAACAAAGAATATAATAGATAATCAGTAGTTCAGCAAATATAATTTCAGTCTAGTAAAATTAATTTCAGTTTAATATAGAGTAAATTTTTTTTTAAGTTGAGCAAAAAAAAGTTTCAATTCAATAAAAATGATTGCAGTTCAGCAAAAATAAGATAAAGTGAACAAGACCTTAATAGATAATAATGAAATACCACACTAATAATGAGTAGAAATGTAAATGTATAATATTTCATCACAATAACAAATTAAAAGGTGTAATCAATGATTAACAATAAACTTTAATCTGTTGCAGAAATTGGGAAATAACAGCACCATGGACAAGAGCACAAGTGAAAGTACCAGTGAAGTTCATAGTGGGAGATTTGGATCTGACATATAATGCTCCAGGTGTGAAGGATTATATTCACAAAGGTGGAATGAAAAGGGATGTGCCACTTTTAGAGGATGTGGTTGTTCTTCAAGGAGTTGGTCATTTTCTTCAAGAAGAACAGCCTGATGTGATTACCAAGCATATTTATGACTTCATCAACAAATTTTAAGGCTGGCTTTTCATTTGTAATGGCTTCTTTTGTTTGTGTTGCTTGTTCATTTCTTTTGGGTCTCTAGTTTCCTATGTTGCCTTCTAATAATTGAAGAAAATTCTATTAGAAAGGAAGTTACTACTAGTCTTGTATATTCCCTGTTTTTATTTTGACGATAATATTAGACTAAGTGCACGAACAAATTACTTGACAAAATTTGCCACCGATAATAAGAAAATTATACTCAGTAAATTGTAATTACTATTTAATTTTTATAGTTTAATTCAAATACCTAGTCTAATTACTTTATCAAATAGGGTGTTAAGGTGTGTTAGTAATTTACAAGTATAAAAACAAAGAGGAAGTAATATAATTTCATGCCAAAAAAATACGTTGGAGTAACAACAATAGCATCCAGCAGCATACACACCTACTTCTTTCCCTCTCATTTGAAGCATTGCATCATGGAAGAGTTTACATTCATCCTCGTGCAACTTTTGAAAAATGTTACTTCCTCCGTTTTTTTTTACTTGACCCGTTTTGACTTTTACACTATTCACCAACCCTCTTTTGACCGTCTTTTGTGAATAATATGTAAGGAAAAACATATTCACGTGGGATCTTTTTGAATTCGTCTCAATAATTATTATCATAATATATAATTTTTATAATTTTCACTTATGGAGAATTAAAGTTATTGATCGTTAAAATTTTGCATTGACAAGCGTGATAAAAGAAACAAGTTAAGTAAAAAAGAACAGAGGAAGTAAATATTAATGACTAAAAGATAAACTTTTCTAAAATATTTAGGGTTTCTCACAAACGAAAAGTGGGTTCTCATGATTCATTGTTCACCAATTTTTTTTAACAACTTTCTTGCTATTAGGAATTAACGAAACGCAAATTTGAAATTCCTTTAATAGCTTACACTTGTTGCTCATGCATTAGTTGCATTTACCAGTAATATTTTTTACTCATCTCCATTTTACTTTTCTAAATGGGTTTGACTTCTTTTTCTTACTTTCAAAGTTTCACTAAAAGTTCTATTTTACTCCATTTATTTTGGTTTCATTACCACTTTCCCTTTGTTTTATTATCTTTGTTACCATGGAGAATTAAGAGAATGATTAGGGACTCAGCAGGTTTTATGGTCCACACCAGCCTTCTCTTTTGGTGGTACAAAACATAGTGGATATCAATGGATAAACAGGGGTGCTGGTTACAATGTTGCAATAAAAAAAAATGGGAATATTAGCTGTTGATACACGAATACTCATATATATCTTAATATCAAATTCTTTATTAGTTTTACTAACATATAATTAGTGAAAATAATACTACCTCCATTCTGTAATAATCGTAATTGTTTGACTTTTTCTCTATTTATATGCTTACTTTGACTATACTTTTTTTACCAATATATATATAAAAACATAAATTGCCATGTAAAATATTTTTGATTAGTCTTTACGTATATTTTCATTATATTAACCTTTTATACTTCTCAATGATATATAATTACAAACATTAACTAATAGTCAAAGTTGAGCATTAGCATGTGTGCCAGTCAACGTGTTACGATTATTATAAAATAGAGAAAGTCAAAGTTGTATCTCAACATGCGTGTGTAGTCAAAATGTAACACTAAAAAAATAAAGTTGAAGCAGTTAAATTTTAATGGTGGCTGCCGGCTGATTAAACGTACTCGTATTGTTTAAAGACGACACGAATGCAAATTGTGCTAACAATAAGAGATAGAGATAATATCATCCAACTTAATCCGTCCTTTAATTTTTTTAAGGAAAATTTAACAAGAATAATCTAACTTTTTGTCCGTTTTACCATATTAATCCCACCTTTTGATTATCCCTCATTAATCCAACCTTTATACCCCTTCTTCCCAAAATGAACCCAAATGACTGGTTACCTAGATAACCGGTCATCTCTTTCCCTTTCCTTCCTTCCACCCTTTGCCATCTTCCTCCATTACCACCACCCAAAGCTCCACCTCCATTTTATCTTCCCATTCTTTCTTTTGAAGTCACCACTCATCCCACCACCACCTTCACTAGACCGCCCCAAACAACACTACTCCCTCAATTTGCAACCGAAACAGCCACCACACACCAACCCCCTCACAGCTTCCCCTGCCATCACCGCCCAACCCTCACACACTCCCCTCCTCTACCTCCAAACAACTTCGCATCCAGCCACTTCGCATTCACCGTACTAACCTCCAGCCAATTCGCATCCACTACACCACCAAAATCTCCCCTGCTACTCCCTCACGCACCAAACCCGAAATCACCACCTCACAAAACCATAATAGCAACACCGTATTCACAACACCACCAACGCAACAACCCCTCACCATCGCAATCTAGCTAGAGATTCGTGGTGGCTGGAGGTGTGTTAATTCAAAATCAGGTGAAAAATAATAATGAAAGATCTAAATTCAACAAAATTAATAAATTAATTCAATAAAAAATGCATAATTACATACAACATTTTTAAGTACTTGAATAATTAGCTTGAAATTAAAAAAAAAAAAAAAAGGAGAGTGGGAGAGAGTGAGCGGAGAGTACACAAGAGAAGATGGCCTGGTGGTTGTTTTAATGGTGACCATGGATGGTTTGGGGTTCGTGGTTTTGGTGGGTGGGTAGTAGTTTGTAGTGGGGTGGTGGCTAAAGGGAGTACGCGGTCACTGATTTTGGTGTGATGGTGGTCAAAGCGTTCGAGGGTGACGAAAATGAAGGTGGGTGGGGATTTCAGCTGGGTTTGTGGTGGGGGTGTCAAAAATGGAGGTGGGTTAGGGGCCGGTTTTGTGGCGGTTATTTTGGGTTGTAGTGATGTTGGTGGGTAAGTGGTCATGGAGGTAAGGTATTAGTGAAGGAGGTGGTCATGGAGGAAGAAGGATGGAGGAGGTGGTCATGGAGAAAGAGGGAGGAGAGAGAAAAAAAGTGGGGTGGGCTATGGTGGTGAATCTGGTGATGGGGGAAGAGAGAGAAAGAAGAAAGAAGGGTGGTACATGTTAAAATTAAAAAAAAAGTAAATTAAAAAAAAAACCAATTAGAAAGTGCCACGTCAGCACTTATAACCGGTTGAAACGGTTAGATGACCTCTAAGGGTTGCTATAAGAAAAAGGGGGCCAAAGGTTGGATTATTGAGGAATAATCAAAAGGTGGGATTAATATGGGAAAACGGACAAAAGGTTGGATTATTCCTGTTAAATTTTCCTTTTTTTAATTGCAACACTTTGATCGACACAGAGTTTTATGTGATTAATATGAATTTGTTATAATTTATATAAAGGTAAAAGATGTGAGTAAAGTATGAGAAGGGGAGCAATGTGATATGAGAAATATAATACAGTAATTCCTTAAAATATATATATATATATATATATATATATATATATATATATAATACAATACTTCCCCTGTTTTCTTTTAAATTAAACAATTTTCATTACACACTTGCCAATGTGTTATTTTAATATCACTAATATCTATTATCACTAGTATTTAAAAATTATAAAAATTGATATTATTAAATTATAAATCGAGGCAGATCTAAAAAGATCACACATGATTATATTTTTCCTCAATTATAAATTATCAAAGTTAGTTAAAGTGGAGTATATGAATAGTGTAAAAGTCAAAGTATTCCATTTAAAAGAAAACGGAGAAATTATAAAATGGTATTTCCAGTCAAAAAAGTATTGCATTATATATTTTGTAAAAATCATACCAATTGTAAAAAGTGTTGCAATTAAAAAAAACAAAGGGACATATAACTTTCATGTACTAGGATGCTAATGTGCGCGATGTGCGTGTCATAGCTAGCCATGTCCGGGGAAATCTTTTAATTTAGCCTTATGTCATAACTTTTTTTGTTGGTAGGACTAATGTTGGAAATTATGTAAACACATATTTTTAGGGGTATAGTCGTATAGATGTTCACAGTATTCTTAAAAATTCAAAAAAAAAAAAAAAACAGGCTATTTACATTAATGTAGGCAAATAAGTATGTAAATATTTTAAATGATATAATTGTCCAAATACTGTTCATAAGAGTTCGTTAACGCAAACATTTTAAAAGAGAGGCAATAGGTAATTAGGCATTGTATTTGTATACATTATGACTTGGAGAGATGCGGATTAGTTCATGCTCCAAGAGACAGGCTCTTCAGGCCAAGACAGCCAGAATGACTCTAAGCTCAAGGAGCATCAAGCATCCGAATGTGCAGTGGTTCAAGAACTCTATTGTGTTACAAATGTTACATGCTTGGTGATGTAATACATTATACATGGGGACTATCAAATTACTACTAGTGTTATGACTATGTACTACACTAAGGACCTGTTCTCTTCAGCTTAATTTCAGTTCAGTTTAGTTCAGTTCAGCTCCAATCAATTCAGTTTAGTTCCTAATTTCCTTCTCTCATAAACAATTCAGCAGCTCAGTTTAGATCAGTTCAGTTCAGTAAATCAGAACATGCCCTTAGTTTAGGTGGGTCGATCTATTTAAGTCCATCTTTATGTCTAATGATATTGCTAATGATAATTAAAGCCAAATTTCATACTTTTTAGCATATATTACAACAACGACAATAATAATAATAATAATAATAATAATAATAATAATAATAATAATAATAATAATAATAATAATAATAATAATAATAATAATATTCATTGTTCAAATGGTTATATTTTTTGATACATATTTTTACAGTTGAACTCATTGACAAAATGAGAGTACTATAGAATAATTACTAGTTTTTCATAATCGGTCAGATCTTCGTCTTCTTCTTGTCCATCAAGCTGCTCCATTACCTTGGCATTCCTCTGAATTGACTACCATTGCTCTCGTACACTATCCATAGCTACTTTTCTGTTATCATCGTACATATATTATTATTACAAATATTTTTTTTTTCACTTATATATTACTATATATATATATGTATATATATATATACATACATATATATATATATATATATATATACACACACACACACACACATATATACACACACACACACACACACACACACACACACACACATATATATATATATAATGACAAAGGCACCCCACCTTTGGCACCGGTTCCAGCCAAACCGGTGGCAAATTATCTTTTTGGCACCGGTTCAAACCGGTGCCAAATAAAAAAGATATTTTTTTTAAAAAAAAGGGGAGAAAGGGATTTGGCACCGGTTCGGTTCAAACCGGTGCCCATTTAAAAAAAAAACCGCTCGTATTTCTTCTTCTTCTTTTCTTTCCCCCTGCTTTTCATTTTCGGTTTTCCTTAACTCTCGTTTTCGCCCTTCTCTTAGCTTCGACCACCTCTGAAGTTCCACCTTTCTCCATATCTCTCCTCCATTACGCGTGCTCGTAGTTCTCCATTGAAGCGCATTCTGAGCTTTGTCCATATCACTCCTCCACTACGCGTACTGTTAATTCTCCATTGAAGCGGATTCGAGCTTTCTCACCTCCATTGAAGCAACTTCGAGGTAAAAATTTGTTTTTGTCCTTTTTAGATTATCGATTTTAGTTTTCGCAATCTAGGGTTTGTCGTTGATTTGATTTTTGAATTTAGGGTTAGTTTACTACCGCAACCCTCTTAATTTCGATTTGGGTTTTCTGGGTTTGGGTTTCACTTTGGGGTTTTTCTGGATTTGACTTCCTTTTAGGTAGTCAATGGGGAGGCAGTTTCGTGGGGGGTTTAGGGGTTTCGTGGGTGGTCAGGGTGGCTGTGGTGGTCGATTTTGACAACATTTAATTGTCAGTATTTCTTGAAATTATGTAGATCTGTGTTTCTGAGCTTTCAAATTACTGATGTGCAGTGGAGCGAACTCGGGTATGGAAATTAACCCGGGTATAATATTGTGGCGATGCGAAGGTTGGGTATGGTGATGAGTTTGATGATGATGAGGTAAAGGATGTCTCTTGATAATTTTTCTGCATTTTCATGATAATCTGACCCTAATTATATATACCATACGAAGTATTATTTGAGCTCAAATTTATCAAGTGTTTGTTGATGGAGGATTGTGTGTTGCTTGTTGATAAATGGTTGCCAGCAACTGTGATCTGTTGCTAGCCAGGGGATGTATGATTGTGATATGTTGTTGTTGCTATTGATGTTGGTATGTGGCCTGAGTTTCTTGGATTATGTGATATTACTCTGTGGCCTTAGATTGTAATTCATTTTGTGAATTCTTTGTGTTGATTGTTTGAATGGTTGTGAGGTTGTGTATGTTGTTGGTTTAGTTTGTGTAGTTCAATTAGTCTTCTTGTTTAGTTTGTTATTGGTTTCGATTGATCTGCTTTGCCTGCTCAAGTGTTATTGATTTGTTTCTGCTTTGAATGCGCTAAAATTTGTTGTTGTGGCTGAATTGAAAAATTAATAGCTTGGTTGTTGTGTAGTTGATGGATAGTATATATGAGTTTGGACTGGTGTGAAGCTGCTTCTAAGTGTACCATACCTTAGTAAAACTTTGTGGATTGATTTGCTAGCTAAGGGATGTATGATTGTGATATGTTGTTGCTGCTATTGATGTTGGTGTGTGGCCTGAGTTTCTTGGATTATGTCCCTTTTTAACGTCCCTTGATTGCTTTGTACAATGTATTGCTGCTGCTTGCTTGCACTCTGCTTTTTTGCTGCCCAATGTGTTGTTGTTGTTGCTGCCCAAAGTGTTGTTGCTATTGCTGCCTCGGACGCTAGGTTTGAAACTTGTTGGCTCCTCGTTGAAGGGAACAAAGAGGCCAGGGGATGTATGATTGTGATATGTTGTTGTTGCTATTGATGTTGGTGTGTGGCCTGAGTTTCTTGGATTATGTCCCTTTTTAATGTCCCTTGATTAATGTTATTTGGAATATGTCCCTTAATTATGTCCACTGTTTAATGTTGCTTGGAATATGTTCCTTGATTATGTCCCTTGATTAATGTTGCTTGGAATATACTCCTTGACTATATCCCTTTTTAACTGATCCCTATATAACAAATTAATGCGTTGAGTCCCTTGGCCGTAAATAGTTATACTAGGATAATCCATATGATGAAGGGGCTCACTTTCATCGTATAGCTTCTCACTGTGATTTGCTCCGGTTTGTCCGTTGAGGTAACACAGTTTGAGAAGTTTTTGGATGAAAATAAAACCCCTGATGGATTCATGAATTATTTGCTTTATTTCGATGAAATTTGCGGTTTTTGTTGTTGTGTATGAATAGTCATTGAATGCTAAGCTAAGAGTGTACTGTTGCTTAGGGTATTTTCTCTCTCCCTCTTAAGCTAAGAATCAAAATGCTCACTCTGCTATATTGAGACAGCTGAATTTACTCGAGTAAGATATTCTTTCTCATACCCCTGCTTTGTATGTATTGGCTCAACTACAAGATATATTTCATGTTAACTTCGGTCTTTGAGGTTTCGCTTGTTTCTTAATCAGACCTTTAGCAAGTATGCTTGTAGATTAATTGATGTATACATTGTGTAAGCAGTAATTAATTACTATTTCTAGTGGTGCTTTCTTATAGGTGATGATACGATTGTTTAGTCCTCGTAAAAGAACTCTGATGTTTATTTTTCTTTATTGTTTCTATTAATCTTAACTTTTTCCATTGTGCTACTTAGTCTTAAAACCTTACAGTAATATAATTATGTTCAAATTACATAGTGTCATTTTGTGAAGAGGCCATGAATTGTCAAGTTGCTGCTGATAAAGATATTTAGCTGTTTAAATTTTTGTAAAGAATGCCTTATTTGTTGATTTCTCCGGGGATTATGGGTGAATCAATTGCTTGACTGGAATTTCATCAGTGACTAGTGGAGATGGTAACAGTTTGTTTGAGAATCTGTCCTTTCTGGTTTAAATTTCTGTTTTTCATGATGTACTTGTCAGCATTCAACTGAAATTTCAAGTGTTTTTTTTTTTTTTAGTTTTTTAAAGTGTATTATTACAAGTTATTGAAGAAAATGTATGTGTTTTATGTATATTATGATTATATATAAGTATTTGGTACAATTTAAGTGAAAAAAATGCAAAAAAAATTTTTATTTTTTTTGGGCATTTTTGGCACCGGTTTTTGGAAAAGAACCGGTGCTAAAAGTTTTTTTTTTAAAATTTTTTTGGGGACTTTTGGCACCGGTTCTAAGTCAAAACCGGTGCCTATTGTATTGAAAAAAAAAGCGCGCCATGGGTAATTGGCACCGGTTAACTGGTGCCAAAGAGGGTATTAACCGGTGCCAATCTTCAGAGATTTGGCATCCCTCAAATACGCAACAGTTCAAAACCGGTGCCCATAGGTTGGTTTGAACCGGTGACTATTTATGTTTTTCGCCTAGTGATTATTTTTATTTTTTTTTAAAACTTATATATATTTCTTAATCCACTTATATATATTATTATTATTATTCATATATATATATATATATATATATTATGTATTTTTTATTTTTTTTATATATTTATTACACTTATATATATCCTCCCCTTACTTAAATATGACAACCTAAAGCACTGTTGAAAATGAATAGTGCATTTACCTTTATGCCCTTACTGAATAGTGCCGCCCTTATTACTGAATTTCCTTCCTCATAGTGCCCCGTACTCTTTTCCTGTACATGTAGATTGAGTGAAGATTAAGGTCTAGGCTTTGTAGGGTAGGCGTCTAGGCTTTGTAGGTTAGGCTGTAGTACTTTTCGCTTCACATAAAGCAATACTCAATTACTCAAAATCTTTCTTTCTTTGATTGATGAAAATGGCAGTGTTTAGTCTGGTCATATATAAAGCAATACTCAAATACTCAAAATCTTTCTTTTCTTTGATGATGAAAATGTATATTTGCTAGGAAGAAAGCAAGAGCAGTGTAGCAAGGGCAGTGTTCATATTTGCTAGGAAGAAAGCAAGAGCAGCGTAGCAAGGGCAGCGTTTAGTCTGGTGATTCAATTTCCCAGCTTACATTTACAGTTTTAGAGTTCATCTTATGTTTTTCATGGTGTAGCGTTAGAGTTGATTTTGTGTTTTTCATTTGCCTTTTCTGGATTAGATTTCTGCTTATGTTTTTTTGCATGTGTTTGTTCATTTTTTTTTATTAGAGTTCATCTTATGTGTTTATGTTTTTTTGCATGCGTTTGTTCATCTATAGTTTTTTTGCTTCAGTGGATTAGAGTTTGCTTCACTGGATTAGAGTTCATCTATATCTTTTTTTTTTTTTCTGGATTAGAGTTCTACTTATGTTTTTTTGCATGCGTTTGTTCATTTTCTTTTTCTGGATTAGAGTTCATCTTATGTGTATATGTTTTTTTGCATGCATTTGTTCATCTATAGTTTTTTTTTTTGGATTAGAGTTCATCTTATGTGTTTTTTGCATGCGTTTTTCATTTGCCCTGTATTTATGTTTTGCGTGTTTGTAAGTGCCATGATTTGATAGCATTTAAGTTATTTTTTCTTATCTTCTTAATTTTAAACATTGTAGAAAAAAAGAGACCAAGTGAAGGTGCTCGTATCATCAAGTATATTAGAATTTATGTAAGTCTTTTCTATTTATAAACAGTTCTGTTTATTTTAAAAATTAATTAATATATTGGTTAAACTCATTTTTGGTTAAACTCATTGTCTTACTAATCTATCCATAGTCCAGTTATATACTTCGTGGTTAATTATCTTTGAAATTTCTTTCATACATTTTTACATCGAACTTTGTAATCAGTGAGACAGTATACCGTTTGTTTAAAATGGTTATGTAAGCTAAGTAGTCAAAATTAATGTATATGGACTTAAGATAACACAGATACATTTACACATTGAATTCTAAGATTAGTCTTTCTATGTGTTAGTATTTAAGGTGCTAACTAAGTGTGTTATGATATGTATATATGCATGTGTGCTTATCATGGAGATTGTTTTTATCTATTTATAAAATTAGATTCCTAAATGATAGCAATGTGGCCGTTTCAGGTTATGGCTTCTTTATCTCCATCTTCATCTCGTGAAAAAATTTCTATTCCTTTCCAACCACTATTGGATCAGATCACAGATTGTCTTGACTTCCCTAGGACTACATATTCAGTGGATGATCCAGTTAATTGTAAATCATGTGTATATATAAGAACTGAGGGTCAGCGTGGCATTTTCTGGTTTAATGGAAAAGGTGCAGCTACTATTGAGGACTCTAAAGAAAGTGCAGCTGAAAGAGCAATGCACTTTTTAATTAAAAGATATGATGTGTGTGTAGGTGACTTCACTATGGACAGAATGCGAATGTATGATTTGTGTGGAAAGTTATATAAGCTAAAACGTAACTCTCTAGAATCGCGTGGTAGGACAAAGAGTTGTAGTAAGAAGATTGTAGGTGATATTTTACATGTTGTGATAGATTATGTGGCCTTTCTGCCCAAGATCATCAGACACACTGGTGTTCTTATAACTGGTTTAGAAACTGTATATTCAGAAGGGCAGGGTTATGTATCTTGGCTTACAGTGACTTCTACTTATGCAAAGTGTGGGATGGAGTGCATATTCAGTGAATTGTGTTTGGATTAGCAATGCATCTAGACAAATTGTTGCTAAGAAAACAATTTATTATCTCATGCAGCTGTATAATTTAGATATTGTGGATGCAAATTATGGTTCTGCACTTTTTAAAGGAGTTCTATGTTTTTTAGAAATGGAAAGTTGTTTAGCAGTGGAGGAGCGAAAGAATGGGCATAAAGATAATGTACAACTGATGCCTTTGTTGATTGAAGAAAACTCATCAACTTTGCATGAGCAGAATCCTGAGACTTTTATGATTGTTCCTGGTCCAAGCACTCCTGGTCCTTCGATTTGCAAAAGACCATCATGGACTTCAGTGACTCTAGAGACTGCATGTACATCTAGAGCAGAAACTAGCACCCCATCTGTAGTACCAAAAAGAATTAGAGAAGAAACTAGCACCCCATCTGTAGTACAAAAAAAAAATTAGATTTGTATAAGTCTTCAGATTTGTTATCTATGTAGGTTTATGGATTTAGCCTTTCCAATATGTAATAAAGACATATTTAAATTTTTATTTTATCAGTTACTATGATGTATTGTAATCATGACTTGTGGTTAAATGTATTTGGTTTTATGAAATGCTTTTGAACGGATTATATATATATATAAGTATATATATATATATATATGTATATATATATATATGTGTATATATATATATGTATATATATGTATATATGTATATATGTATATATGTATATGTATATATATATATATATGTATATATATGTATATACATATATATGATATATATATATATATACATATATATATATATATATATACATATATATATATATATATAACTTAGTTTTGATATAACAATTTCTCATAGCATAGTTAGCAATAATATTGTATGGCTTTGCCAAATGTAAATTGTAAATTTGATATAACAATGATCACAAATACATGGATTCTCAGTCATAGTACTTGATTAGGGGATTTTTACCCACCAATCACCGTCTGACAAGTGGACCAACCAGGTTCCGCCACGTGTCCTTCACGAAGGCCAATAGGAGCCTGCCACGTGTCAATCACAGATACGTCCTCTACGGACCAATCGAGGCACGCCACGTGTCCACCCATGCCAAATGGGAAAACCGGCCAACAAGGCCCAATCCTGTCTAGAGGCCCGGTCAGCCCTAGGTTTACCCTAAACCTAGAGAGTGGCACGCTTCTCAAGACTATAAATACTTAATTAATCCTCATTAAAAGGGATCAAGCAATTGAGAGGCAATTGATCAAGCAATTAATCTCGCTAATAACCGGCTAATCTCGCTAACAAAGCAGATTACCAACATTAAACACTCTCACCTAGAGAGGTCTTATTACTTTAATTTCCGTATTAATTACTCCTTAATCAGGTACTAACTTGACCGTTGGAGGCGGAGCTCTCAGGAGTCTCCGTTATTTTGCAGGTACAGGCGTCCGGTCCCAGTCTCGGAATTGTAACTCTCCCGCAGGACATCAGAAAACCCCGAAACATTTGGCGCCGTCTGTGGGGAGAGTACTTCAGAGATGGCATCCAAGTCTGTACCGACTCCTGAAGAGAGGCGTCCCCTAAACGACCCTCAAGTTCAGTCGGACCATGACACCGAAAGTGAATTTGAAGTGGAAACTCATACAGCTCCAGACGGGACCCTAAGGGCCCGACGTACCCGTCATACCGAAAGGAGGGAACGGGAGCATCTTCAAACAGGAAGCGAGCCAGCAGGCGCACCGCCTGCTCGGCAACAGCCGACTGATGGGTCTGCTCCCATCACAAGGAACGAACTCATGACCTTCATGAGGGACTTCAAGGGAGAGATTCAAGAGTTGATCAACAAAAAGCCGCCTGCTTCAGTCAAAGAGCAGTCGGCCAAAAAACCTTCCACTTCACTGAAGAGGAAGCCAGTTCAAGGGCGAGAGGCGACTCCTCATCCTAAATCCAAGAAGCGGGAGCCACCTGCTCTTGATTTCACAAAATTCCGTTATCCTACGGGAAATAGGAAACCGGTTCGTCATATTCAGGCGGACGGGTCAAAGCAAACGTTCACAGATGCTCGGCTACTGCTAGAGCAGAAGAAGAGTGACCGATTGTCAGAGTCGGCTTCTACTTCAAATTTTCAAGACAGTTTGCGAAATGCCTCGATGAGGCATACTCAGTCGTACCATGAGAGTCAGTCAGGCGAGACCTCCCGTCAGTCCGGCTTTCATAGTGCCCAGGCGGTACCAAACTTACCATTTGTGCCGCAACAACAGTATTTTATGCAGCCACCTCCATTTGGTGGACCTGCAGCAAAAAACGTCCAACCTATGGACTGGCAGCTACGGTTGCTTAGACTTGGTGAACAGCCGTCGGCCTTCTCCAAGGAAATTACTGAAGCCGCTTAGCCGGCCAAAGTAAAAAATGTACTAGTAGGCGCCTATGACGGCACTACTAACCCAGAAGACCATCTGATGGCATTCACCAACCTGATGTACCTTCAAGGGTTGGATGATCCCACTTGGTGCAAGTGTTTCCCAGCGACTCTCAAGGGAATCGCACAACAATGGTTCGGCAACCTGCCGACTGGTTGTGTAAATAGCTTCAGGACGCTTGCTTACTTATTTGCCTCCAACTTCGCCATGAACATCCCTGCGAAGAAAACGACCCTTGATTTGGGAACAATTCAGCAGGGCGAGAAGGAGGGGCTTCGTTCTTACATCAGGCGGTTCAACCTGATGAGAATACAGATTCAAGGGTTACCGGATGAGGTAGCTTATACTGACTTTTTTAGAGGTCTCAAAGACGGGTCTACCTTCAAATTTGATTTAGTTCGAAAAAGGGTGGCGACTCTTCAAGAGGCCTTGATTGAAGCAGAAGCCTATATACAGGCGACTGATCTGTGTACGATAAAACTGTCGGACGGGAAAAGGTTCGACAAAAGAGAAGGACGACAGAAACAGTCGTCTAACAAAGATGAGAAAAGAAAAGAGGTCTGGGCGGTTGATTCCTCTAAACAGCCGGCCCAGAAAAAGAAAAAAGAATTCAAACCATACTCCCCAAAGTATGTGTTTAACAAGGATAACCAGTTTATCCTAAAAGAAATAAAGGGACGGATCTCAATTGAGAAGTCGGTCCCCATGAAGGGTTCTGCAAACAACCGGAAACAAGACAAAATCTGTGCTTATCATGATGGCGTTGGTCATCACACCAATGACTGCATCAGTCTCATGCGGTACCTAGACCGCTTGGCTGAGCAAGGTGATCTTGACACTTATGTCAAGAAATCTACGGGGAACACTTCCTCAAAAAAGCAGTCGGCCAAAAAGAATCAACAGGCCGACAGTTCCGATACAGATGATGCAGTCGTCTACACCATTGCAGGCGGCTTCTCAGGAGGCGGCCCCACTATTAGGGGCAACAAAGATAATATAAGGCGGTTAGATGTAAATTCCGTTCACCAAGAACGGCCGTCCAAATATACATTTCCTGAGATTGTCATCACTGAAGAGGATCTAGGGGGGTAAGGGGGCCGCATGACGACCCTCTCGTTATTGAATGTAAAGTGGCCAACCAGAGAGTTGGCCGAATCCTCATAGATACCGGGAGCTCCTCAGATCTCATCAGCAGCAAATGTCTGTCAAAACTGAAATATCAGACGGACTGCATACATCCGGCCTCCCACCCTTTAATAGGGTTTGGAGGAGGAGTCGTCCACCCACTGGGACGAGTAGATTTACCCATTCGCCTGGGCGAAAAAGGGGAAGGACGACACATGGTAGTCCGGTTCCTAGTAGTAGAGGAACTCTCGGCCTACAACATGATTCTGGGTCGACCAACCCTGAATAATTCCAAGGCTGTTATAATCCCGTCTCTTATGCTGCTTAAGTTTGAGAGGGATAATGGAACAGTCGGCTCCCTAAGGGGAGATCAGAGGATGGCCCGAGAGTGCTATCTCTCGGATGTCAAGCCCACTGTTATGGCCACTGGGTCAAGTGGAGAAAAAACAGACCTTGACAATGTTAAGGAGAGTGCGCCTGTTCAAGAAACAGGCGACAAAAAGAGAAAGGCGTCCCAGACAGAGTCCGCAAGAAAAGCAAGAAAATAGCAATCATTGGCAGAGGAGCGGCCGGATGAGTTCCGCCCTCAGCCGGCTGGTGAGCATGCGGACCTGATCTTAGACGACTCACGTCCTGACCGAACAGTCAAAGTTGGGACGACTGCTCTGAGAAACCTTGGTGACGACTTTCACAACCTATTGAAAGAATACAAGGACATCTTTGCATTTGAAGTCCATGAAATGCCAGGCATTAGTCCTGATCTGGCAGTACATAAACTCGCTGTGGACCCGAAAAAGAAGCCGGTACGGCAAAAGAAGCGAAACCATGGCGAAGAAAGAAGTCAGGCGGCAGCCGCCGGAGTTAAAAAATTACTTGATGCAGGGTTCATTCGGCAATGTTACTTCCCAGACTGGGTTGCAAATGTGGTGCTTGTTAAAAAGCCGAATGGCACCTGGCGAATGTGTGTAGACTACACAGACTTAAACAAGGCGTGCCCCAAAGACAGTTACCCTCTGCCTAAAATTGATAACCTGGTCGACTCAACAGCGGGTCATGCCTTGATGAGTTTTATGGACGCCTATTCTGGTTTCCATCAAATTCCCTTATGGAAGAAAGATCAGGAGAAGACGGCCTTCGTCACTGATCAGGGGTTATACTGTTACACGGTCATGCCGTTTGGTCTTAAGAATGCCCCGGCTACCTTCCAACGAATGATAAACACAGTGTTCTTTGATCAGATTGGGAGAAACGTCGAGGCATATATTGATGATATGATTGTCAAGACTAAACTTCAGAAAGATCATCTGACGGACCTCCGAGAAACTTTCGCCACACTCAGGCGGCACCATGTCATGCTCAATCCCAAGAAATGTGTATTTGGAGTTGAGTCTGGGAAATTTCTCGGATTCCTTATCAATCAGAGAGGAATAGAGGCGAACCCTGAGAAGGTGCAGGCGGTCATTGACATGCAGTCGCCTCGTACCATCCGAGAGGTTCAGAAGTTAACAGGTTGTCTGGCGGCCTTGGGGAGATTCCTAAGCCGATCAGGCGACAAATGCCTATACTTTTTCCAGGCAATTAAGAAAAAGGCAAGGTTTGAATGGGGGCCGGATGCTGAGGCGGCCTTCCACAAATTGAAAGTTCACTTGCATTCCTTGCCGAGGCTGGTCAGCCCTTTGCCCAAAGAGGATCTCTACATGTACCTGGCCGTCTCTGATCATGCGTTAAGCGCTGTGCTCCTTGCTGAAAGGGACGGCTGTCAGCTCCCGGTCTACTTTGTCAGTCACGTACTGAAAAATGCCGAGTTGAGGTATCCCCTAGTGGAGAAATTGAAGCCCTACTTTTTGGCACATGCAGTCGTCGTGTATACCGACCAACCAA